GTGTTGGCCTAGTGGGTTAAGGAAGCTTTCAAGTACCCGGTTTGATCCCCACAGCCTCCACTGTGGGTTCCTGAGCAAAACCCTTAACCCCACACTGCTCCCTGGGTGCCACACAATGGCAGCCCACTGCTCCCCAAGGGGATGGGTTAAATGCTGCAATTAATATCTCCAATGTGACATGAGTGAAGTTCAATTATTATTAGATGTTTTTTGAAATACTGACTCAGCATAAAGGACTGTGGTCATGTTTTGAAATGCTCTGTAATCTGAGCTAGTAGGTTTGAAGGTTTTATTTATGCCCAACTTTCCACTTTGAATGCTTAGGTGTCCCAAAAACGCAGAGACCCAAAAGTGATCTTTGCCTAGATTTACATGAAAAAGAAAGTGACACAAAGTGGTCCTGATTTACGTGATCTGAACCCAATTAACACAGTCAGAATTTTACACTTAAAACCAGAGATAAACTCTGTTTTTATGTTGTTGGGTTTTTTTTTTTTTTGTAAAACAAATGTTAGGCATACTGGGCTTACTGCAAATGTTTCAATGTGCTAATAAAAAGGTTCAAACATTCCAGTAAACAACTTAATGTTGATGTGAAACAAATCCTTGAGCACCTTGTCTGTGAATCAGAACCCCAACTGCACACATGTTGCTAAAATGAGATTTGTGTCTTTGCAGCTTGTTTACATTTAGGAGCTTTATGTGAAAAAAAGAATCATTTATCAGGAGTCAGTGATGCAAAACTTCATTCAGCCCTTGAGGGATCCACCAATCACAGCCTGGTTCCTTTTATGGTTCTGTCTTCAATTGTGGCTACAGGTTCAGTTTTTAGGGCGTGGCAATTTCATGCTATGTCCAACAGGTTTGAAGTCTGTGACTTAAAAATGTCTTAAAATTTTTTAACACAAGATCTTCCCTTAGTGGTGGATCCAAGCCATAGCAAGTCATCTATCCTGTTGGTCACCATCAAATCTCTGTGCACAGAGACCCCACATCATGCCACCTCTTCCACCATGCTCCACCTAGGCCCCAGCAATCAATCTAACAGCTTTCTGCAGGTAAATCGAGTTACTGATCACTGATTATCTACTGTGAGGACAATGTTTCAGATTTGGCCTCATTTAATGATTAGAAATATGTATTTTTAAAAAGGTTTTATTAATATACATTTAACCTCGATTGCTTAGAGACAAACTGGACAAGATGAAGAATAAAATAAAATTTCAACTCTTTAAAAAAAACCTTGGATATTATCCTGTTTCACTTAAAATAGTTTCATATTTAATTTAAATATCTGTTTCTCTGTGACGGGCCGCTGCAGCCTAAAGTCTCAGTTTAAAAGGAGTTTGTTGGTGAGTTTCCTTTATCAACGATCACACTGACTCAACTGGTGAGTTTGGAGCCGTTATAAGCCAAATTGTTATTAGGTCAGAATAAACAAAGAAAATGGTTAAAAAAACAGTCCAAAAACCCAGGAAACCTAGATCAAAAGATGACGGAAGGTCTGGCACAGTGAGCCTTTTAACATAATAGAATTTCATATCTTCGTTGTGGTCTTGCTTTGTTCTTTTTCCTGATTCGTCCTGCTTGTCCTCCATATCTGCCCCCTGAATCCTTGTCCTCTCATCAGACTGTGGTTATTAATTTATATATTTGTTTGCTTACGTCACAGCTCCACAGTATATTTGTTTGCTTACGTCACAGCTCCACAGTAGTGAGCAAGCTGTTTGAAATGGAGCAGAAGTCTAGTCTGGAAAAAGATGGGGACGGCTGTTGGAGGGGCGACCAACTGAGAAAGGCGCACTGTCGATGACAGAGGTAGCGGAGGGGTGGGGGTGGGGTCACCCAGAGCGCGCATGCTCCACACAGCAGGTGCCCCAGCTCCCATTGAAGAATGAAGAAGAGAGAAACTCATCTGCATTGCTAATGAGCTGCTGTGAGCCTCCTCCCCCTCCATTTTGGGGTTAAAAACCCTTCTAATATGGCGACATGAAGATGCAAACACAGGAAAACACGAAAAAATGAAAAGCCAACTCTAATTATCATGTGCTGCCGCTGCTGCGCCCCGGGATGCTACTAAATCCCTGCAGCCTGATCCTCCTGCTGACACACTTCTGCTCTCTCTGGGAATATCAGCAGAACAGTTCTTCTGCCCAATGTGTCCAAACATTTACGCACATGGCCACTCACAACACGGAGGCTGCACAGACACAGAGGATGCGCTGAGTCTCAACAACAGCAGCAGAAACGCTCCCTGAAGAGAAGCGCCAACCCCAACAAGCACCCTAAGGTTGAAGGCAGAGATGCTGTTGCATCCAACCCTCAGAACCGCTGACCTGCTTTGCAACAATCAGGATGATGCTTTTTGCCTGCTGGCCACCATGTGCGTGCGCTTCTTCACGCGCCTCATTATACCCACCACCAC